AGACAGTTGTCCGCTGAACGCTAAAACGATCTGTGCATCAGAGATGCGCTTAATTTCTTTGGCCAGGCCAAGACATTTCGTTACTTTATTGAATGATAAAGTTACTATTAAGACTGCCATTACCATTGCTATCGTTATCATTATCATTTTCATTACCAGTAACATCGTCATTATCATTGCAATCATCATCACCGTCACAAATCGACAGTACTTTAACGTAGTCTTTACTTTTACCGACAACGATATATGTGAACACAGTGGTCAAAATGTTGTGGACTCACAAGGTCGAATTGTTTTTACCACAGCATCGACATCAAATAAAACAATTTTTTCAGCGTGTGACCATTGCGGGACACGTTGACGCGAGCATCGTTGGCGTTATCTGGATTCTTATCAACGGCGGAAAATTGGCCAATCAGACTGCGACATTACTGCCAATTGTGGAAAAAGTCTTTATCACTATCATTATCATCGATATCGTTATCCTCATCGTTATCATTACCACAACATTTATCACTACCATCACCATTAGTATTGCCTTTGCCGTTGTCACTTCTCTTGTAATTATCAGTATCAAAATCATTATACTCAATAACTACCTTGCACAAATTTCCAGTCTTGTCTTGTCAAATATGTATAGGTAATCACATGATTTCGAGTGCAATTTGGAATAAATAAGCACGAGTAAATGTTTTCAAAGACTAACAAAATTGCATGAGCCAGTAGGGCGAGTGCTTATTTATTCCAAATTCCACGAGAAAAATCATGTGATTATGTATTAATAATATACATGAAAAAATACGAGGTAGCTTGTTATAATTATGCAGAAGAAAAGCCCGTGCATCACGTACAAAATTAATTTATTCAAATCCTGCAAGTGACATTGACCTTGACATTGACATTGACCGATCATTCTGACCAATCAGAATGTCTGGTTTGTTACTTTCTTTGCACTGAATTAACCCTCTTCTGCACTGAATTAACTCTCTTTTGCACTGAATTACCTGAAAACTGCATTTATCTTAACCAATCAGAACAGAGAACTTTTTTCATGTATATTATTAAATAATGAATAAGCAATAAATACCTGAACTACCTGTAATAAATGACGTCGGTTCCAATCTGATGATTTGTTTTTCCACGTAAAACTCTGTCATGTCATGTTCCTTCAGTGAAACTTTTATCCATCTATACATAACTTGATTATCATCGTAACTGTCTGAGAGAGATACAATCACCAAGAAAAATAAATACTCTTATCTTTAAGGATACAACATTGTTTTAGTGCGATCGGAGAAGTAGTCAACTAAGTGTTTCCACAAGAAGTACTTGCCTTGCTGGTTGTATATTAGTGATATTTAAAATGGAGCCAATGGAAGAACATTTGAATAAAAATGTCTTTATAAGAAGTCATACTTCATTTTAAGGAGCTTTATCTCTCTTTTATCTTTTTTTTTTTTTTTTACAAAGAATTAAAGTAAGAGAATCACTTCTTGGACGCATTATTGAACAAAATGTTTATATACATACAAGCAGCCAACTGTATTCTCAACGTCTGAACATCCATTGGATATTTCGTAAAGTCCATATGACTTGTTAAAGTTGCCTTGATCCTTGAAAATTGAATAAAATGAAAAACGAACTGAAAGTATTTTAAACATAATTCCTTTGTGACACAAAGAATGTAGTATGGGGAACTTGTTACGTTTCTGAACGAGTTGCTGAGCCCCAACAGCTAAAAATGTTTTTCCTACTCTCTCGGCATACGACAGCATGTGGCCATCTGAAAATCCTGAGTCTAGTTCGACTAAGAGTGACCAGCATCTAATTTCTACTTGTAACATCCCCCCCCCCTGAATCACACATTAAGGACAAGAGAACAAAGGAATATATCGCTACTTCTTCTTTTCAACGCCTTAGGTAATGTCTAGAAGACAGTATGGAGCCATGCATACTAATGTTATGGCGTAAAGGGTGTAAAGTAACAACCACAATTATCGTCAAATACGACCATCATCTTCATCAGTATTATGGCCATACTAAACTAAAGAGTGAAAATGCAATCTAATAATAACTCAATCATACAAACCACTCCGAGAAAAATATCGTCCCATCACCAAACAGATATGCTGTCCTCGTTTTATCGTCAACCTCGTGTTTTCTGGCGTTCTCAATCATTGTATCAGGATACCACAATTTCTCCAACAATTCATTCTTAATTCTGATAAACCACGTTGCGTTGCCATATGCAAGTCTTGGGTCCTTCCAGGTTTCTTTCAATACTAACTCAACGTTATATTCCTTTTGAAACAATGATAGAAGGTAATGAGTTAGGAGTAGAATATGTTAGGGTCCTTCAGTCATTCCTTTACAATGATAGTTAATGTATTCCCTACATAGTACTGATCCAACTCCAGAATAATTTTCAATCCAGTGCCGAAAGTCACTCCCAGCCTTCACTTTTACTTCGCTCAGTAATTGGTTGAAAAAGACTCGAGAGATCCTCTCAACCAATCATATGCAAAATCAGAGCAATTTTCAATTGAGTGTCGTAAATATTCTGTGATTTTCTTTGGTTTCACTTAACTTTGCTTTGTGAATGGCGCAGAAAATTTGCACTATGCTCTCCACCAATCAGATGAAAACATAAAACAATCGCAACCTAGTCATTTACGTTTTCCCGCGCTTCTAGCAGTTCGCTTGTTTTCACTTTGAGCTCTCATTGGCTAAAGATGACGTAAACATTCATTCCGATTGGTCGATGGGATGATATCAGTTTTGGCTTTACGTTACTCAGGTGAAAACTGCTTTAAATCAATGTGGAATGTTCAGCAGGCAACCGTGGACGATACTCCTACTCTTGTACGTTGGATCAGCGATGATCTGATCGGCCCAAAATAACGAATATGAAATATAA